TTCTGTTTCTTTCTTTCCCTCATTCTGCTTTCAAAAGAATGAATGAATGAATAATTAAAGACCTAAAAGAAACACTACAAATCTATCACTTTGGGGAGAGTAGAAATAGTTTCTATCAATGTCTGTGCACCTGTTTTTTCTACATGTATTATAGAAGAAACCCAAGATGAAGACAGGGCAAATTAGTAAATGTTGCCTAAACAAAACTGGGGTTAAAAACAAAGCAAAACAAAACTTGATGCATAGCGAGCTTAAGTACACTTGCTAGATCTAGAACCTCTCATCTCATTTCAATGTTTCTCTTTCCTAAATGTACGCTTGGGACCAACACCGTGGCTCAACAGCCTAATCCTCCACCTGTCCCTGCTGGTAATCCCTTATGGGCACCGGCTTGTGCCAAGCTACTCCATTTCTTCTCCAGCTACCTGCTTACGGCCTGAAAAAGCAGTGGAGGATGGCCTACGTCCTTGGGACCTTGCCCCAACACGGGAGACTTGAAAAAAGCTCACAGCTTCTGATGGGCCCCGCTCCAGCTGTTGTGGCCCTCTGGGGAGTGAACCAGAAGATGAAAGATCTCTGTCTCTCATTCCCTCTGTAAATCTACTTCCAAATAAAAATAAATAAATCTAAAAAAAAAAAAATCCACAAGTGAATTCTAAACCCAGCAAAGTGTAAAGGTACAAAGTTGATATTATCTTGTAAACTATGAAAATAAATGAAAGAATTTTTACAAATTCTAAAGCAATATCCAAATGAGTCACATATTTAACAATTATGAGTAGCAGCAAAGCTACACTAGGTTACTGAAGAATCATGAGCTATGTTAACTCACCAGCTAGCAGTCCTGGTGACAGCTGAAGAATCACCTAGACTCTGGGGGGCTTCATTACAAGGGCTCCTAGAAGTCTTTTTTTTTGTGTTAAAAATGACTGTAAATAGCCTTTAAGCAGATCTGTACAACACCAAATCAGAGGGCAGCCCATGACTCTGAGCACTGGTAGAACATCCATGGTGTTTCTCATGACCAAATAAGATGTTCTCCTAAGGATGCCCCACTGAATCTTCAGTATAGAGTAATGAAGGATGTTTTCAGTTCTTTTCTTGTTCAATCTGGAAAACAAACTAGCAAGAAATTACAACCCAATATTCTTCACTTATTTCGTTTTCATTATACATACTTCAGATTGCAGACTGGATACAAATATTGAACAGAAGCCAAAACACTCCCACACATTTCTTATCAATTCAATCCAGGCCAATCTGTCTCTCAACTCTGCATTTTTATATACTTGCCTCACCACTTACTAAAATAAATATATGAATAAATAGCAATCCAGTCCAAAGCATCTTTCATCTGTAATTATCTGAAGAGATTTAAAGATGGGTAGAGCGAATCCATTTCACTAACCTTTAATGCCTGCTCGTTCAATCATGCTTGAATGTCTAGAGACAATTTACAGATAATATGAATACTGTAGTCTTCTGGCAAATCCAGTCTGAAAGGGGCAGAAGGACACACACTTCTTTTGCTGCTCTGTGACAATTCAAGAGTCAAGCTGGGTTAGAGGGTGAGTTACATCTGGATTTGGAGTGGATCATTCACCCAATTAAGTTCTTGTCAGACCCACAAATGTGACTCCACAACTTACCCCAGGCAGAACAGCCAGAAAGGATTTTTCTCCACCTATCTCAAACTTTGAAATAAGACTAGTAACTAATGAGTGAAAAATGTTTCTAAGTTTTAGAATACTCTTGGATTGCTGGGTAATTATTTTGGGGGTAATGTTTGGAAATCTTAGGAAAATCAAATCTGATTTTTTTTCCTCAATGGAAACTGGTCATTCAAGTAAAACTAATCTTTAAGCTACTTTTTATATCATAAACCAAGTTGTGTAAGAACAGTAAGTTGTTAGAATAGATTCTTGTATTTTCATAAGGACCATATATATGTATGTATATATATATATTCAATTATTAAATTCACACTGTTACTCATATACATACACTTGTACAATACTGCTGTAGATTGATTTTAAACATCTATATACTAACTGACAAGTAGACATTTTAGGTTTTCTTAAAACAGCCAAATCTGACCATTTAATCATGTTTATCGAACATCTGCATTTATTTTTGCTCAATTACTGGTAAAAATAAAAGTGTTGAGGCAAAGACGAAAACTACAAGAATTCCTACAGGCAGGAAGTATTTGGTTTTAACAAGATCCTTGCTCTGTGATCAACTATTAAGAAGCAAAAAATAATGGGGCGAGCACTATAGTATAGTAGGTTAAGTTGCAGTCTGTGACAACAGCATCCCATATTGGAGAGGTTCTGGCTGCTCCACTGACTCACCTCTCTGCTAACGTGTCTGGAAAAGCAGCAGAACAGAGTCCAAGTGCCTGGGCCACTGCACCCACATGGGAGTTCATGATGGAGTTCTGGGCTTCTGTCTTTAGCCTGGACTAGCCCTGGCCATCATAGCTATTTGGGGAGTGAACCAGTGGATGGGAGAAGTCTCTGTCTCTCCCAGTTTCTTTCTGTTGAACAAACAAGAAAGGGGCTGGCACAACAGCCTAGTGGCTAAATCCTCACCTTAAAACGTGCCAGGATACCATACGGGTGCTGGTTTGTGTCTCAGCTGTTACACCTCCCATCCAGCTCCCTGCTCGTGGCCTGGGAAGGAGTAAAGGATGGCCTAAGTAAGCCCTTTTGGGACCCTCCACCCTTGTGGGAGATGCAGAAGCTCCTGGCTTTGCATCAGCTCAGTTCCAGCCATTGTGGCTACTTGGAGATTGAACCAGTGAATGGAAGATCTTTTTTCTCTGTCCTGCTTCTCTGTTAAAATCTGTCTTTCCAATAACAATAAATAAATCTGTAAAAAAAAAAAAAGTAATTAACGGGAAGTTAAGTTTTGGAAATACATCACTGACAACTATCAAAAAGGCATGAAACAATGTTTCAGAAGCACCTTTTCCCACAAACCATTGAACAACTTCAGTCTGCTGCTCAACTCGCAATGATTTGATTTCATTATACATTTTTAAGGATGACCTGGTTTCAAGTTCAGACTCTGAATCTGTTATTAATAATGACTGATGTCCAGGCAGAAATTCACAGAACAGATACAAGGGTTGTTAAGTATGACAGATTCAAAGACGAAACAATTGGAGGCTATTTTATGTACCTATTGCTCCACAGTTAAATTAGTGGCAGTGCTGGGGCAAGAACCTAGAGTCTCTCTAAATTGGGAATTTTTAAAAATTGTCATAGTTATTTTGGATGCTATCATGTTCATAGTACAATTTTGTTTCCTCAAAAATCAGAGGAGACAGGATTCTTGACAATCTTGGAAACTATAGTGTCTTTAGGTTTCAGGTATTTGAGCAACTCATGCTTTACAAAATAACAGGATATAGAAGAAGATTTGAATGGCAAATCGACAAAGGGCGATGTTGCCAATGCTTTAAAATAGCTTCTGCAATTTATCTTCTAGTCTTAAAGTTAAGTATTATCTTATATCTGTTCTTTGTATACCTTTACTGTACACACCATATTTTGAAATAATACACTTAAGTATTCTTTATCTTCTCCAATAGACTGAATATTCCACGACGGCAAGACATTTCTACTTTGCTCGCAACTGTTTATCTATCTCCAAGCAGAGAGTCAGCATATTAAAGAAGCTCCCACAGTTTTTGAATAAACAAATGCATTTCTCTCTGTAATCATGGTTGAGGCAAGCCTGTGGAAGCCCCAGTTATCTGTTTCATCCATTCGTAAACTTGGTGGCTAAAACCAAGGGATTAAAGTTCCAGGGCAGTAGATTTTAGCTTAGCCAAAAGCTCCCAATTAGGAAGATTCAGAAAGAGACTGAGCAACTTGGAAGCTTAATGAGCTTTTTGCCAATTAGGGGCTGGGGAACCAAGGACCCAGGCATATGGGATCTCTACGTATCAGGCAGAAGGTCATCTTGACAACCTCTCAGTTGTCTTCCAACTCTAAGCTTCTCAAGTTCATTTCTTTGCAGATGTCTGATTTTAAATTAGGTGAAAATAAAGTATAAGAACAAACTTACTAGGAAAAAAGCCAAGAGACTCATCTAATGAGACTCTGAAAACTGATTATTTGAGTATGCATGCCCATTTACAATTTTTGATGCATCTGGATTCTATTGAATATGTGTTTTGATGTAGGTCCACACATTTGAATATATAACTCACTAAAAATCTAGCATTTTTTGGAAGTTTATTCCAGGTAGTACCAACTGTCAGGTGTCAAACTCTCAAATCAGTGCTCTTCTCACCCTAAGAGACCATGCCATTTTTTGACTATAACCCACAGATATGGCAGTATTTCCATCCTCATCTACCTTTGAAAATCCTTCTTCCAAGTTTGGGAGAGGATCAAATTTAATTTTGAAATAAAGCCATTGTACTGTGTCAATTAAAAAACCCATCTTGCAGGGATGAGTGGCTGGCACAGAAGTTGAAGCACCCACTTGGTATACTCACATTCCACATCAGAAGGCCTGGGTTACAGTCCCGTTCTGCTCTGACAACATGTACCCCAAGTGACAGCAAGTGACGGCTCAAGTAGCTGGAATGAGAGATCCAAATGCAGTTCCCGGCTTCTGGCTTTGGCCTGGTTACGCCCTAGCTATTGTGGGCATGGGGAAGTAAGCTAGTTCGTGTGACATCTATTCATCTGTCTCTCAAATTTTAAAAAATCTTTTAATAATTATTAAAATTCTAAACATTATTACAGCAAAACATTAAATAGTTCAAATTAATGCAGTGTCTCATTAGCTTTTGTAATTAGTAGCAAACAGTTTTTAAACACGACTTTTTTCATCTAGTATAATGAAAGATTTCAATTTGGAAGAGTAAATCATTTAAGTTAAAACATCTAAAGAAGGTTTTCTTTTGCAATGTTTCACAGAACACTAAGAATAAGATGTGCATTTACTACAGATTAAAACAGCAAGGGAGAAAAAAATACATTTAGTTTTATTTACTAGTTGTTTTTCTAAAGTTACAAAGGCAAGTGATCTAATGATTAAAGACAAAGTAAAACAGACTGTCATTCTTAGAGTTGGAAAGAATCTTTGAGACATCTGGTTCAGTTTCTTAACTTACTCGAGATGCAGGTTAACATATTAGACCACACCTGCCAGAAATATCTCTTCTTCAGGGAGTTTATCTTTTCATGAAATGTGCTTGACTTTCTAAGAAAACCACGATTACTTCTGTTTTTCATGTTCTCTGTTACAGCACAACAATATGCTGAAATCTACATCTCAAAAACCCAGACCACACAGATTCCCTTGTATTTGTGAGCAGTGCCTTGGCCATGGGCTGCTTTTCCTTAACTCGTCTTCAAGCTACAGAAGGCATGAATGAGTAAACCGTGGAAAGGGGATAACGTCTTTGATATTGTCAACTCCCAAGATGCACTGCAGGTAGCGTTCAAATCCCATCCCAAAACCTCCATGTGGCACAGATCCAAATCGACGCAGGTCCAGATACCTGGTTTTGAAAAGCAGAAATGAACACCTGTGAATCAGATGCGCTCATGAGAATCTGATGTTTCACAAGCATTTTGCAATCATCTGTTACTATTCAGGTCATTGTGGCACACCAGCATGTTCCCTCCACAAATGACTGAAACAAAAGTTAAAGTGATCTATCTAGCCAGTGTTACTCAAACAGCAGATCTTGTCAGGCAGTTGTAGGTTTTGGTCACTGGATCTTTTTGTTTTGAAGTTATTTCCACATAGAACACATGCCTCATGTGGGTTACATGAAGATTTTCTAACAGCTTGATTTGTTTTCTTGAAAATACACTTATGAGGCCTGCACTAGGGCACAGCCAGGTAGGTAAGTAGGCACTTGTAACACCTGCATCCCTTTTGAGCACTGGTTCAAGGCCTGGCCATTTCGGCAGTGAACTAGTGGATGGAAGATTTCCTCCTACTGCAACTCTGCGTTTGAAATAAATAAAATAGACTTAAAAATAGAATACATTATTTTTCTTACACTAATGATGATATTCCTTTCTTTTTCCTTGTCAATATCTTATAGGTCAATATAGAGCACAGTAAAGAGTTTGCATGATACATTATAAACAGATATATTTGGGGCAAGTACAGCTACCACTGCTAAGCTGTCATCCCATGTGGTTGCCGATTTGTGTCCAATCTGCTCCACTTCTGATCCAGCTTCCTCCTGATTGCCTAGAGAAAGCAGCCACAGATAGCCCAAGTGATCGGGCCCTTGCTACTCACTGAACTGACAAAGCTCCTGGTTCCTAGCTTCATCATAGCCCAGGCCTGGCCTTGGGGCCATTTGAGTAAACCAGCAGACAGAAAATCTCTCACTTTCTACCTTTCTCTCCCTCTCTGTAACTCTTTCAAATAAAGAAATATTTTTTCTTTTTTAAAAAACATCTTCCATCTGGGGCCAGGTATGATACCATAGTGGCTTAAGTCCTCACCTTGCATGCGCCAGGATCCCATATGGATGCTGGCTCGTACCCTAGCTGCTCTACTTCCCATCCAGCTCCCTGCTCGTGGTCTGAGAAAGCAGTTAAAGATGGCTAAAAGCCTTGGGACCCTGCACTCATGTGGGAGACCTGGAAGAAGCTCCTGGTTCCTGCTCAACTCAGCTCTGGCTATAGTGGCCATTTGGGGAGTGAACCAGCTGATGAAGGATCTTTCTGTCTTTCCTCCTCTCTGTAAATTAACTTTCCAATAAAAATAAATAAATAAAAATACAAAACAAAAAATTTTTAAAAGGAAAAAAAAATAAAAAAATATATCCTTCCATTTGCTGGTTCACTCTCTAAATAGCCCAAACAGTCAGAGCTGAGTTGATCTGAAGCTAGCAGCCAGGAGCTCCCTCGTGGGAACAGGGTTCCAAGGCTTTGGGCTACCCTCCACTGCTTTCCTAGGCCAAAAGATCAGAAATGGATCAGAAATGGGGCAGGAGGAACATGAACCACTGCTCAAATGAGACGCTGGCACTTGTAGGCAGAGGATTAGCATGTGAGCCACATGTCAGTCCCCAATAAATACGTATTTAAAAACAAAAATGTATTTCCTTGCTTGAACTGTAAGCTCTGTCAGGAACAGAAACTCTGACCAATTCAACATTTTCCTCCAGAGAATGTTCTAAAGCAGGTATTTACTATATAAAGATCTATCACTTGGAAGGCATGAAAAAACATCCTTAGTGTTAATGCAGAGAAATTTCCAAGTCTCTGCTCCCCTTGTGAATGTGCCCATCCAGACAGCCTTTGCAGCATGCCAGTCCCACTTCAGACCACAGCACTGCAGAAAGGCACCGTGATGACTAAAGCCCAGATGCCAACATGTTAGCACGCGGTGAAATTATTTCAGGTAGAGAAAAAGAAAAGGAAGACTCCATAAATATTTTCATTACGTCATTTGGTGCAGAAATTCTTGAATTACAGGAGTATAGATTAAGTTCCACAACTAAGCTTAAACACCATAGCTAGTAGTGATTTGAGTCCCCAAGCATAAAGACGGTGAGCTTCTACTAATAATGGATGAATGTATTACTGTTTTAGATGCTCTAGTAGCCAAGTGTCTAAAACAAAAGACTTAGTCGCTGAGAGGTCACTGTGATGGGGGAGGCAGTATCAAACCTCACAGCCATGAGAATTGCAAGGAATCACACTTCCGAGTGACTGAGATGTTTGCTAGCTAAACTAACTGTTCAGCAATTATTATAGAGGAGATACCACAAAATTCATGGAACGAGTTACAGATGAAATTTGCATATGGCATTTTGAAAAAGGAAGTGAGTAAATTCAGGGGGACACCTGGGTGGCAACTCACAGCTGGGCAGAACAGTAGCAGAGACCAGAGATGTGAACACTTCTGAGGTCCTTCAAAAGTTCATGGAAAATGAGAGTATTATTAAGAAACTTTGCAGAGATGAAAAAAAAATTCTTCCACTGAAACATTTACCTTAACAACTTTTTAAAAATATTTTATTTATTTTGGACCCGGCGGTGTGGCCTAGTGGCTAAAGTCCTTGACTTGAACGCCCCGGGATCCCGTATGGGTGCCGGTTCTAATCCCGGCAGCTCCACTTCCCATCCAGCTCCCTGCTTGTGGCCTGGGAAAGCAGTCAAGGACGGCCCAAAGCTTTGGGACCCTGCACCCATGTGGGAGACCTGGAAGAAGTTCCTGGATCCTGGCTTCGGATCAGCATAGCATCAACCGTTGCGCTCACTTGGGGAGTGAATCATCGGACGGAAGATTTTCCTCTCTGTCTCTCCTCCTCTCTGTATATCTGACTTTGTAATAAATAAATAAATCTTTTTTTTTAAAAAAGGTTTACTTATTTTTATTGGAAAGGCAGAGTTTAGACAGGAGAGAGAAAGATCTTCCATCCGCTCCCCAAGTATGCACAATGGCCGGAGTTGAACTGATGCAAAGCCAAGAGCCAGGAGCCAGGAGCTTCTTCTGGGCCTCCAATGTGGGTCCCAAGGCTCTGGGCCTTCTTCGGCTGCTTTCCCAGGCCACAAGCAGGGAGCTGGATGGGAAGTGGGGCCGCCAGGACATGAAGCAGCATCCATAAGGAATCCCTGTGCTTGCAAGGTGAGGACTTTAGCCACTAGGCTACCATGCCAGACCCCTTTTCTACAACTTAAAAAAATACACTCACACTATGATTACCACAAAGGGAAGAAAAAAAATCAAATAGTAAGTATTTTATATATGGTCATCTTAGCACAAAAACCTTTAGTTGGGAGAAGTATAGTGTTAACACTATTAATAAAAAACCAAAATGTTGAGGCCCAGTGTGATAGCCTAGTGGCCTATTTCTTGCCTTGCATTTGCTGGGATCCCATATGCACACCAGTTTTTGTCCAGGCTATTCCACGTCCCATCCATCTTCCTGTCTGTGGCCTGGGAAGGCAGAAGAGGATGTCCCAATGCCTTGGGACCTTGCATTCATGCAGGAGGCCCAGAAGAGGTTCTTGGCTCCTGGCTCCTGGCTTTGGATTGGCTCAGCTCCTGCTATGGCGGTCACTTGGGAGTAAACCATCTGACAGAAGATATTTTTGTCTCTCCTCCTCTCTGTAAATCTGACTTTCCAAATAAACAAATAAATCTTAAAAAAAAAACCCTGCAACTCAAAAAAAAAAAAAAACAAAGAACAAAAAGCAAGCAAACAAAACAAAACAAAACAAAACACCTTGCTTGGTCAGACTAATTATCCAACAGCAGGGCTTGTTACAAAGGAAAAAGGGGGTAGAGAACAGAACTTAGTATGGAGACACCTAGCCTATACTTGTTCCATTTCATCTTCGTAATACACCATGAAGTAGATATTATCACTGTTCAGATTAAGTATGTCTCAGGCCTCTATAGGCACACAGGAGGCATTCAACCGCTGTCACTGACCCAATGTTAGCTTTTTGCATCTCTGAAAGCAACTGTCCTTTCCTCCTGCGGATGTCAAAGGATTAATAACACTGTTGACATTACTACACCAAGGTTGTGAAGCTGGGCTGCTATAGGAATTTCAACAAATCCCTTGCATATACTGAAGGCACTTGAAGAAAGGCCTGTAGAATGAGAACCAGACTAACTTTGGGGAGGTGAACGCAAGAGCACAGACAGGTTGTCTTCCTGAACCATTTCAGATTTCTCACTTTGTGGAAACCTTCATTCCAGGTCCTGATTTCACACAAGAGAAAAGTGAAGAACAATGCTTCACAGAAAAGGTCTGTGAGTCAGCCCAGCTCCAGCGTTTTCACGGTGTGACTCTGGTTAAAAGCCAGCAATATCTCCCGGCCCCAGGCTTAGAGTAGCAATCCAAAGAATTACAGCACCTAACTCACAGGGTGTTGCGGTAACACCATCTAAACATATAAAAACAGTCTGACAGTTATGTGACAACAACAGTATGTGAATGGTAATGATTAGTATCACTGGTTCTCCACAACACGGAGGGAGAAAGCATCCTGAGCCACATTCACCATCCTTAACACAGGGGCTTCCACAAACATGGATCAGCAGCCAGAGTAAGAATCACTAAGGGCCATGTCCTTACCACTGGTATGCTTCCGTGAGTCCTGATCTGTAAAAGGAAAAACAAAAGGTCTTTCAGGGAAGGGCAATTCGGTAAATACATGTTAAGCACCAAACATTTATTCTGGACTGTTGGTAACAAGACCCTCTTCATGGAGAAATGCACAATATGTTTTACAGTCTCAAATCAAATGTAATACAGTTGAGGTGCTGAAATTTCACAGCTACCTAACAGTCCAAGGTATTGCCAATTGACCGATATGGATCATGAGCCCAAAGGAAGGGTCCCTGAGCTGGGCTCACTGTGGGGAGACACTGGGACCATGATTACTAGCATGCGGGGAAGAGGTGCACACACACCCAAGGGACACAGACACAGGTGTCATTTTACAACACTGAACCGGTAATAAGTTTCTGAGGTTGCCCTTATAATCTTGCTGCAAACTGGTTCTTGTTTGAGAAATGTTAACAAGGGTTTCACGTCCAAGCTCTCATTAAAATTAATCTTAGCTCTTTAAAAATGTGATTGGGATTACATTGTATTTGCAGTGCTGAGGATGACAAAAAAAAGCCAAAAACATAGGTAATGAGTACACAGGCCACAGACAGACCCCAGAGACAAGGAAACACATCTACTTCATTAGGAAAGATAAATTTGGACATTATCGGATACTAGGTAAACATTTGTTAGCCGGGAGGTCTCCTGAAGGAAGGAAGCGAACAAAGAAAACAGACCTATTAATCTTTCAACAGATGAGCTTCTTTGCCATGTGTGATTTTTATTGTGCTTTAAAAAAAACCTCAGGGATTCCTGATTCTTTCCATGCAGAGTCTGACCTTCACTTCAATTACACAATGTTCCCAGGGCTTTCGAATACTAGAGCAGCTATGAGGAGACAGCAGTCTGATAGAAAAGAGGCTTCCCAGAACCTACTACCCCCTTTCTTCTTTCCAGCCTTGCAGAGCCCTTCACATGATGGGGATTACAAAGCTAAGTTTCCCAGGAGATTTATAGGCTGGCATCCTGGAAAAGCACCAACTTTTTCTGTACTTCTCAACTAGGAAAGGAAGCCTTACATGTTTAACTGAATATTTTCAACAATGATGGTTTCTCCAGGATGTGACGAACCCCAACAGTATCTGGAGAGAAAGATTATGCGTACAGATATAGGAGTTTCTTTCTCTTTTTAAAAGTGTGGCATGGTGAAAGTGGGAATCATGAAGGTAGAGGCTAATAACCTTGGCTAGTTTAGGAGGTCACAGTAGTTTGCTGGCAGATTACACATATGCAGGAGTGGTAGTTCAATTAGAAAATGGATTCCCTACTCTCCATCTCCAAAACATTTTCAATGTGTTTAAGGATTCACTTCTCAGCTATCAAACAGCAACCTACGGTTATTTAAACAACTAAAGCAAGACTCTGACACATTAGGGAACCCAAGGAGGAAGGGAAATCTGCTTATTCTAGAAGCTGGCTTGGCAGCAGTTCACTTTTTCCACCTTTATTCTTTCCCTGGTTCAGTCTGTCTTCACATCCTCACAGATTATGCAACTGAGAGTGATTAAAAAAGAGCACAACTACAACGTGCACAATCTTTAAGGGGGAATCTCCCTTTTCTTTTTATCATTACCCTTTTTAAAAAGCTCCTTTCCTTAGGGAAAGGTGTGTATAAGTAGTGGGCAAACATCCTTGAGGCCGGGTTTCTTCTCTCAGCTCCAGACACAAGAAAGGAAGCTGAGGGTGAGTAGCAACCTGTTCAAGGTCACATGGCCTGTGAGAGCTGTATCTGCTAGACAGGCCCAGGTGCTGCTTCCCTGGTACTCTGCCAGCACCGCCTTTCAGAGCTTGACCCTTGCTGTCTACAGCCTGCTCCAAGTTTCATCAATACCTGGCCAGCTGCTGCTCTAAGAAATGGTACCGTTCTTCTCTGAGGCTTCCTCCAAAGAGTTCCCCAACTCCAGGAACTAGAAGATCAACTGCTGCAACCTAAGTAAAAAAAAAAAAAAAAATTACAACCAGGTGGTTCCACAACAGTCAGCTTCAAAGAGGAATTTTTAAAAAACACTGCTATAACGTATTGTTTAATCAAGATTTCACTTCTGGGCTTGGTGCGGTGGCGCAAGTGGTTCAGGTCCTCGCCTTGCACGCCCAGGATCCCATATGGGCGCCGGTTCTAATCCCGGCAGCCCTGCTTCCCTTCCAGCTCCCCGCTTGTGGCCTGGGAAAGCAGTCGAGGATGGCCCAAAGCTTTGGGACCCTGCACCCACGTTGGGGACCCGGAGGAGGCTCCTGGCTTCGGATCGGCATAGGATCGGCCGTTGTGCTCACTTGGGGAGTGAATCATCGGACGGAAGATCTTCCTCTCTGTCTCTCCTCTCTGTATATCCGCCTTTCCAATAAAAAATAATAAATAAATCTTTATAAAAAAAAAAGATTTCACTTCTCCCACTTCTTTTATCTGCCTATATTCCCTGTTTGAATGTCAAATATTTTATATTCTTAAAATTATGCTACCTTATTCACAGGTGGACAGCTTCACTCCACTCTTGCACTGCTTGCATACCTAACAAAAATGTGTTTTGCCAAAAGTGGTGTAGCTAATTATTAAAATTATATAAACAGAGACCAGTGTTATGGCTTAGCAGGTACGGCTGCTGTCTGTGACACCAACATCCCATAAGAACACCATGGCTGCATCCCAACTACTTCACTTCTGATACAGCTCCCTGAAAGCCTGGGAAAGCAGTGGAAGATGCCCCAGTTCCTGGGTCTCTGCTAATCCAGTGGTAGATCTGGATGAAGATCCTGGCTCCTGGCTTGAGTCTGACTCAGACTTGGCCATTGTGACCACTTGGTGAGTGAACCAAGGAATGGAAGATCTCTCTCTTCCTCTATCTCTTTCTTTCAAATGAATAAATAAATACTTTAAAGAATTATAAAATTCATACTGGTGCAATAGCCTAGTGGCCAAATCCTTGTATTATATTCACTGGGTTCCCATACGGGCACTGGTTCATGTCCCGGCTGCTCCACTTGCCATCAAGCTCCCTGCTTGTGGCCTGGAAAAACAGTAGAGAAAAACACAAAGCCTTGCAAATCTTGGGACGCTATACCTGCAGGGGAGACCAGGAAGAAGCTTCTGGCTCCTAGCTTTGGATTGGCTCAGCTTTGTTCGTAGGAGCCACTTGGGGAATGAACTATGAGACGGAAGATCTTTTCCTCTGGTTCTCCTTCTCTCTTTGTAAATCTTTCAAATAAAAATAAAATTAATCTTAAGAAAAAGGAATTATAAAAACAGTGCTAAACCTGTAAAATGTTTTAACTTCTCTATCACTGTGCAGAAATAACTACATTTGTCCAATTCCCTTGTAGTTAATTTTTCTTATAAGAAATATGCTAGAGAAATTACATAAAAGTTAAAGTTTAATTACATAAAAAATATAAATTACAGAAAAAGTTTACCATTGTAATTGCCCTATTTGATTTTCTAAAATGATTTATTATGGCAGCAAATACATTTGACATATTTAATGCTTCAACAGTGCAGTTTCTTTTTTTTTTTTTTAAGAAATATCAAATTTGGGCCAACACTGTTGCATATTGTGTAAAACCACCATCTGCAGTGCAGGCATTCCATATGGGTGCTAGTTCATGGTCCCAGCTGCTCTGCCTCCAATCCAGCTCCATGCTTATGGCCTGAGAAAGCACTGGAGGAGGAACTAAGTCCTTGGGACTCTGCACCCATGTGGGAGAGTGTCTGCTAGCTTCAGATTGGTTCAGCTATGGCTATTGGGGCATTTGGGGAGTGAAACAACAGATGGAAGATCGCTGTCTCTTTCTATAACTGTCTTTCAAATAAATAAATCTTTAAAAAAAAATTATCAGTTTAAAAGCTTTCCCTGTTTTGAACATTTAGGTATATGTGTATCTTTGTTGTTTTCTTTGACACAGCATGGCAGGGCCTGGCAGTGTGACCTAGTGGCTAAAATCCTTGCCTTGAACACACCAGGATCCCATATGGTCGCTGGTTCAAATCCCAGCAGCTCCACTTCCCATCCAGCTCCCTGCTTGTGACCTGGGAAAGCAGTCCAGGACGGCCCAAAGCTTTAGGATCCTGCATCCATGTGGGAGATCTGGAGGAAGTTCCTGGCTCCTGGCTCCGGATCAGCATAGCATCGGCCATTGTGCTCACTTGGGGAGTGAATCATTGGACGGAAGATCTTCCTCTCTGTATATCTGACTTTGTAATGAAAATAAAAAATTTTTAAAATTAAAAAAAAAAAAACGAAACAGCATGACAGAGGAATAGGTATTGGATGCTGTTGTTAAGATACCGCGTGAGACACACCAGTATTACATATTAGAACACCAGCTTCCCTTGGAATCCAGCTTCCTGCTAATGTTCACCCTAGGAAGTAGCAGGTGCTAGTGCGAGAGCTTGAGTCCCTGTCACCCATGTGGTATGCCTGGGTTAGGTAATGTGATGCTGGATTCGGCCTGGCCTAGCCCAGCTCTGCACGTTGTAGGCATCGGGTCATGAATCAGACGGACCCTTGGTCTGCCCTTGCCTTTTTTCTTTATCAAATACAGAAATGAAAAAAATGCAAACAATAACTTGGTAATGAATTTATAGTATTTTGTAAGAACACATACATTTTGATTACTTATCAAAGTAGTATAAATTAAAACAAGACACCACTTGGAGTCCTCACAAAGACAACATAAACCTTGTATAGAACAGATAAATCAATATCTGAAGCATTTAAAATTACAATATTTTCAGAGTCATCAAAACAGTTCTAGGAATTAGTCCTAATAATGTTTAGTGCTGGAAAAGAGATTAATACACAGGATGTTTATTATAGCATTAATTATAATAAAACTTCAATTGATCAACAGGAGATTAAATGTGTTTTTAGTCATACATACAAAAAAGACTATTTGTACAAAATGTGATGCTGTGTTCTTACTATGATGGGATTATAGATTTTCAAAATGGTTTTCTTTCTTACAAAAACTGGTAGAATGAAAGGACCCCAAAAAACAGATTTCACTTCAATTATTAAGTATGTCACATACACTCCTTTCTCAAACTTTGCTGTACTTTACCAGGAGCAAGGAACTCTCTTCTACTTCCTTTGTAACTCTACCTTTCAAGTGAAAAATAAGTAGCATTAAAACAGAAAAACAATAAAAAAAGTAGTAGAGGCAAAACTCAAACTTAGGCACTTCAAAACGGAATGTGTCGGCAAGACAAACAGCAGCTTAACCAGCTAAGCCACAATGTGTGTCTCATTTCAGACTGCTGTCAAGATATACTCCACAAAGATCAGATTGGTAATACCCGATTCTCATTACATTTTTCAAAGACTTATTTCTTTATTTGAATTAGTTACACAGGGAAAGGGACAGAAAGAGAGATATTAATTGATTCACTCCAAACGAGCTGAGCCAGGCTGAAGCCAGAAGCTTATTCCAGGTTTCCCAAGTGGTACAGAGGTGCAAACACTGAAGCCATATTCTTTAGGACATGAAAGGGATGTCAAACACTATACCACAATGCTTGCCACTGAATAGCCCTTAACAAAGGGCAAGGACAGCTAAAAATCAATCATTTGCAAAGTTTCAATGTTAGGATGATTCAACAAGAGTACAAAGATATATATATATATAGAGTTGAAGAGCCAAGGCTAAATGCCTATTGTTTCAAAACTATGCTGGAGGATCAGCCATTATGGGAAAACAAGAAGCCTACAATCAGATACTACTAGTCAACCATGAGATGATACAATCCTACAACCAGTTGTTCTGCAACTCAAACAACAAATCAAAGGCAGCCATTTACTGATTGGTCCCAGTTCAGAATGTTGGTGGGAAAATGTAATCAAAGGATGATGATATGTGAGCATTTGGCCCAGGAGTTAAAACATCTACATCCCACATCAATCTCTGTGGGGCTGATACTCAATTCTGCTTCAGACTTCAGTATCCTGCCAAGTCGGAGCCTGGGAGGTAGCAAGGATGCCTCAGGCCACTGGGTCTCTGCCTCCTACACACTGGGCAAATGTGACACAAGATCTATTTCTCTTTCAAATTAAAAAAAAATTCTTGTTTTCCAAATCTGCTTTCTAGATACCTAATTGGTTATGCCAAACAATTTCTGTATTGGCTACCATAAAATCAAGGTGTCAGTTTCTATGTAATTCAGGATCTGCTGCTAGCTTATGCTCTGCTACCACCAACTTGGGAGGTTTACAGCAGCGTTGTCAGTGTCAGTATTAGCAACACTGTTGGATAAACACTTCTGTGTGAGGGCTGGACAATGCATTGTGGAATATTTAGCAGTGGAACTGGTCTCTGCTCAGTAGGTATCAGTTGAACTGCTATAGTTCTAACCACCCAAAATGTCTAGGCCCTGCAACATTGCCACAGATTCCCTGAGAAATGGAATGGGACATAAGCATTGCAATAATGAATTGTTCTTTTTTTTTAAGACATATATTATATAACCAATCTGGCCTGAAGAGGACAGAGCAGTTTATTTCTGAGATCTTTATGGCTGGTCTGTGGCAGAAGGCAAAAAGCCCAAGGCAGAATGTACTAAAAACACTGGTCCAGAAGCAAGATTTGCATGTTCCTCTGCTTCACAATTCTGTGGTCAGTGCAGGTCACATGATCAAGCTCATGTCCCTGGGGACAGAGAAGGATAATTCCTAGGGAGAAGCACAAACTCTACAGACAACGTCCCCACACTGCTTCTTCCTCATCTGCTTGGATTCTCTCACTTCCACTTTCCCAACCAAAGTCCTTGTGATGAATAAAGCCAAAATAATACTTCTCTTATTTTCCTCCATCATACTCTGGAAGATTCTTATCAGGACAATAAAAAATGTATCAAAATCGATTATATTCAGGTAAAAAAAAGACATCTGAATCAAGTTTCATATCTGCACTTGGTACCAACACTGTGATATATGGAAGAGGAA